CGCAGCAATGGGAGGGCTGACTGGTTTCAGCTCGTTGGCGGAAGGCTACATGCGCTTAGATGACAGCGGCGTCGGTAAGTGAAGACGTGTCAAGTGTGAGGTTGGCACAAGATGCTAACAGTAACAGAACCTCACGTTTATGGAGTTAGCACTTTAGAGGCTTTTTCCCCCCCAGAAAAATTTCCCTTAGTTTTTATTAAAAAAAAAAATGTTGCACTATACCACATATTTTTATAGAAAACTTACAAAGCACAAGAGAAAAGATTATTCTGTGTGCGGTACTTGACCCTAACCTGAGTCCACGTCCCTGCTGACGGAAGCAGCTGGACGACACTTCCGTCTGCTATGATACAGTTACTTCTACTTTATTGTGATGCTTCTGTGTTCTCTCTCTTCCCCTCCATTTTTCCTTTTCCTTCCTTTCTCATCTTTTCTCCCTGGGAGATTCAGTTTGGGAAGTCAGGCCTTGGAGCCTGGTAGAATTTGAACCTGCAGTGAGAGCAAGGGGGAGACCACCAGGCCCTGTTGTTGGGCGTTGGTCTGATGCTCGTGTTTTGATGTTAATTACGGGCCCTCAAGATCTGGTCACTGCCCAGATACACCTATCCTTGTTGTGTAAACCTGCCTCAGACATTATTCCTGATGGGTTAATAAAAAAGGCCTGTATCCAGGCAGGGCAGAAGGAGGTAGGCGTGGCTAAGGTTCGCTGGCTTTGGGGAAGGAGAGACCGGAAGGGAGGAAAGAGGAGAAAGCCTGATGGGTTAGCATAGAAAAGAAACCATGGGCCTAGAGGAAGGACTCCAAAGGTGGCGTGGGAAGGAGTGATCCAGATGAAAGATAAGCAGGTATTTATAGGATTATGGATGGACGGTAGCCCAGATAAGGATGGTGAAGGCGGACGGCATTGGATGGGGGCTGGGAGGTGGATGGTGAGGTTACTGAGATAGTGTAGGTGGAATTATTTGCCCAGCCCAAGGTGTTTATAAGGCAATTATAAAATCTAAGAGGTGTCTATGCCTTAGTGATTATGATAGAGGGTTAGATAATACCGCCACGATAATTATAGGGTTAATAATAGACAAAATTTAGCCCGATACCATTTATTTCCAACAGCACACTATCTACCTAGAGACCAAATTACAAATGAGGCAAGCCCGTAACATTGGAGACCCGTGTAGCAAATGTGAAGGTGCAGGCCTGAGCAGCCTGTGTTCCCAGTGTCACAGGAGGGAGAGTGGAGGCAGGCAGGGGCAGGAACTGGGAGAAGGAGCAGTTTTCCTGTGCTGCGCACTCTAGGAGACAGGACCAGCTTGTCAGCCAGTTAGACCCGCAGTTCATTTCTGAGGAGGTGGTCTGGGAGGAGATAGGATTTTTTTTTTTTTAATTATTTATTTTTTATGTGCATTGGTGTTTAGCCGGCAAGTATGTCTGTGTAAAGGTATCAGATCTTGGAGCTACAGACAGTTGTGAGCTGCCTTATGGGTGCTGGGAATTGAACCCAGGTCCTTTGCAAGAACAGTCATTGCTCTTAACCACTGAGCCATCTCTCCAGCCCCGATAGGATGGTTTTATGTATTTCTCTGTAGCTTCCTTCTTTTTGGCTCAAGAGTCAATGCCTTCAGCAGTTAGTCTTCGTAATTTGTAGTTTGGGCGTGGTGCATAGTTCCTTGTTCATTGAAGAAAGAGCTTTATTGTTCATACTTAGTTGTCCTGGTTTGCTTTTCTGTTGCTTGTGCTAAAACGCTGTCCCAAAACAATTTGGCAGGGAAAGGATTGCAGGTGATAATCCACCATTGAGGGAGGCCATGGCAGGAACCTGGAGGCAGAAACTGAAGGACAGAAATGGAAGGACACTGCCTTCTGGCTTCCTTCCCATAGCTTGCTCTATACCATATAACCTAGGCCAGAGGACGCACTCCTTTAATCCCAGCACTGGGTAGGCGAGGCAGGGGGAACTCTATGGGTTCAAGGCTAGCCTGATCTATGTAGTGAGTTTGAGGACAGCCAGGACTACACAGAGAGGCCCTGCCTAACAAAACGAACGAAACAAATACTCCAAATAAATAATCAACCCAGGATGATGTGCCCAGGGGCAGCACCACCGCATCAGGCTGGGCTCTTCCACATTTTATCACTTTTTTTTTAAAAAGATAAATTTATTTATTTTTATTTTGGTGTATGTGTGTGTAAGCCACACGTATACAGGTGCCTTCGGAGGCCAGAAGCGGGTGTTAGATTCCCTGGAGTGGTGTTGCAGGCACTTATGAACTACCTGATACAGGTTCTGGGAACTGAACTCTGGTCCTCTGGAAGAGCAACACTCTTAAGCACTGAGCCACCTCTCCAGTCCCAGCAATCATTTCTAGTTAGGAGGGTAGCCCACAGACACGCCCACAGGACAGTCTGATGGAGGCAGTTCCTCAGCTGATGTTCCCGCTTCTCAGAGGAGTCTAGTCGTGTCCAGCTGACAAACACGGAGCAGCTCACTGGTTTTCTAGATTAGAAGTTCAGCTCTCCTCATACTGAATGCTTTGCTTTAGTGTCTCGTAACTCTGTTAGGGTCTGGTACTTCTTTCCTGACACAGTTACAATGGTATCTAGTAGGCTTTCCTCCTGTGGAAAAGTTTGTGAGAAATGTAAAAATTCTTTTTTTTTTAAAGCAATTTTTTCTTCGTGTGGTGGATACGAAGTTAAAATAAAGATTCCTTGGGCTGGAGAGATGGCTGAGTGGTTAAGAGCACTTGTTGCTTTTGCCGAGGACCCGGGCTTGATTCCCAGCACCTACATGGCAGCTCACAACTGTAACTCCATTTCCAAGGGGGCTAACACCCGGGGCACTAGGCAAAAAACTCAGACACATAAAATAAACATAATTTAAAATAAAAATTCCTGTTTCTTTTTGTACTTACTCGTGTTTGGTGTTTTGTTTTGCGTCGGGGTCTCCCTGTGTTCTTCGCACTGGTCTGATTTTTCACTCCCTAAGTGTATGGGGCTGTAGGGCCTGCACTATCGTAGCCAAAAACTGCACAGGGATTCTTTTCTAGCAGTTCTGCTGATACTCTGATTTTCTTGAGGGTAGAAATGATGAACTGCTTGTGTCTTTACAAACGGAGATTTCTACTTTTTGTGTCTTGTGTTTCCAGGCGCACCCTCAGTTGAAGTTTTGGATTCTCCAGTTACGGCCATGGACCACCCGTTCCTAAGAGCCATGCAGCAGCCGTCTACTTCTCCCCAAATGCTAGCAGATGGTAACGAAGTTACAAGAAGTACTTTTTTGGTGTAGTAACAGTATAGAACTTGATTTGCTTCCCAGGCAGCAGATGAGAGCACGGATGCCCCAATGTCGGGTTTAAGGAACCTATGAGTTTTTATTGGGGTTACCTGGGCGAGCAGCAGGGGTAACTCAAAAGCAGCTGCACTGGCAGGAAGAGCCCGGGTCAGTGGAGAGTGGAAGAGGAAGACACCTGACATTAACCTCTGGCCCACACACACACACACACACACACACACACACACATGCATGCGCGCATTTCAGTTCTGGGACTCTCCAAAGCAGTTAGTATCATTTCTGTGGTTGCCAATAGAAAGCCTCAGTGCATCATCTCAAAAAGTTTAACAGGAATTTCAACTGCAGTTTAAAAAAAATAGTTGGAAAGTTGTGTATTTGTGTGCATGTGTGTGCATGTCTGTGTGTGTATGTGTGTGTGCATGTGTGTGTGTGTGTGTGTGTGTGTGTGTGTGTGTGTGTGTGTGGTTGGGAGTTGCTGGGCGTGCATGTGGAGGTGGCCTGTGTGCGGAGGTGTGTGTGTGGGTGCGGAGGACTACCCGCTGAAGTTGATGCTTTTCCTTCCAACATGTGGGTCCTGGGACAGAACTCAACTTGTCAGGTAGGAGGCAAGTACCTTTACCTACCAAGCCATCTGTTGTCCTTCTCTTCCACTTTTGAGACAGTGTTTTAGTCTGTAGCCTAGGCTAGCCCAGAACTAACTTTGTAGGTAGCCCAGGCTGGCCTCCAGTTTTAACTCTTCCTGCCTCAACCTCTCAATGACTTGAACTGGGTGTCATCTCTGTGCCTGGCTCTAGGGCACTCATGTGGAATCCTGTGCAGTGCTATTTAATAGGAGCCGGTTAAATATTGGGAGAATGTTTGCTACTGGAAATGACTTTTGTTTTGTGATGGAATTCTTGCAGAGAAAGAATTCAGTATTAGGACCATTTTGGCCATTTCTGGTTTGAATAATAAACTGCTGTTATTTGGTATAAAGGAATTCTGTCTCCTCTTTTGGGGGACCTGTGATGTCATAAGTACACAACTGAGAATTTTTTCTCATGTTAGTAGGTCCAAGCACTCAGGTTGCTTCCTTGAGGAAACCTGGTGAGGATGATATGGCTTACTTTGAAAGACAATACCAGGAAAGGGTAAGCATTTGCGGAAATCTACTTGTGTACGGCTTTACTTGAAACACAGACACCACTGAAAGATTAGATCTTGTATGTGGAACATCAATGAAAACAATTTGTAAAGGCTTAACTCACAGATGGTACTAAAATTTGATGCTTCCTTAGAACAATTCACATAGAAAAAGGACTGATAAGAAAATAGGACTAAAATACCAGCTGATTCATGAAACTCATAAATATTGATTAAATACATAAATGAAATAAACATCAGCCATCTTTATATATATATATTTGAGACAGAGCATCTCTGTGTAGCCTTGGCTGTCCTGGACTTTGTAGACCAGGCTGGCCTTGAACTCAGAGATCTGCCTGCCTCTGCTACCCTGAGTGCTAGGATCACAGGCATGCACCACCATGCCCAGCTTTTTGTGTGTGTGTAAGTGTCAGGTGAGGCTATGCAGAGGCTGGTTAAGGTGTGCAGTGGTGCAGCTGGGTGGGAGGAGCACCCTGCAGTGCTCCCGAGCACACCAGGTTGCTTAGGGTTCGGGCTGTGTACTTCCAAAGGGCTAACAAAGGGCACCCAAATGGCTTTAAAGCAAGCAAGTGGTAGGTGTTTGAGGTAACAGATATGCCAGCTACCTCAATGGAATTATGTCACCCTTTATGCACCTCATCAGTGTACGCAATTAGCTAAAAACTACACACACGTGAGATTTTTCCTGTTGTCACCCCTCCCATGATGCCTTGCTAAGCTCATCATGTAACTGAGGATGTGGACTATTAAATGATTCTCCATGCCAGAGCAGAGGAAGCGAACAGAAAAACAGAATTATCTCAGCTCCCCATGAGGGATCTTGAAGCTGAGGGGAGGGAGGTCCTGAAACTGGGAGTGGGCACCTGGACACAGTGTAGGCCAGACAGAACGAGGGAACACTTTGCAGTGATAGAAACTGTCTCTATCTGTGGTGTCATCATTCACCCTATGTCACTGTATAAGTCTAAATTTGAATAAAATGAAACGTGAAAAAATCTCCCTTAGCCGAGACTCAATAACCACACGACCTGGTGGCTCCCGCTTAGACAGGAAAGGAACCCTTTCCATCCTTACGGACAGTTCTTTTGGAGGACTCCGACCTTAGGGATATCTCTGTTTAGGTTACTTTAACAAAATGCCGTAAACAGTAGAAACTTGTTCAGTTTTTGAGGCCGGGAAGTCTTAAGTCAAACTGCTCGCAGATCTGGTGCCCCGAGGGTTGCCTTCCGGTCCGAGGTTGGTGCCTCCTCGCTGTGTGGCGGTGAATGGAGATGAGGCAGCTCTCTGGCCTCTTTTTCATAGACACCAACTGCGCTTCTGACGGTTGCCCACATAACCGACTTACCACCGAAAGTTCACAGCTCCCAGTGCCATCGGTGATGAAGTTTCGGCGTGTGAGTTTGGCGGGGGTACAGACTCTTGGAAGGGAAAGGGTCTGTAGCAAAGGGAAAGGCAGGGCTGAAGGACCTTAGAGGCGAGTTGGAGTGGGGCAGGACTTATGACCCAGTCAGTCTTCATTCCTGGAACACATGCTCACAGGTTGATTTTGGTTTTTACTGGGTCTGAAACTCCTGTCCCTCCCGATGGGTCTGAGTAGCGTTGGCGGTGTTGAAAGCATGCCGGTGTATTTGCTTGCTGGCAGATAGTGAGTGGAGTTCTCATTTATGAATGTTTCAGGCTACCTATTAGAAGTAAACCTGTGTTAACGAATTTATGAGTTGCAGTTTATAACTTTCTAGTCCGTGTGATTGTTTCCTGAGACAGTTTTTGAACTCTCTGCAGTGTGGTTAATGGAGTATGAAGGTAAGAATTCCACACTGAAATGCTCTCCCTTGAGCTGGCACAAACCATGCATGTTATCAGTACTTGTTCTTTACCCCAAAACCATGCAGCAAAAGGGACAATTAGGAAGCTGTGCTGGATGGGTCAGGTCCTCGGTCAAGAACAAGGCTATGTGTTGCCTCTGGCTATAGGTGCCCTTTTTATCTATTTCATTGGGGTTCTTATACCTCTACCTCCCTTCTAACCCTTATCCACTCTAATCCCTTCCAACCCCCAACACTGGGTAGGAGAGAAAGAAGGTTAGAGGGCAAAGGGGCAGCATGTGTCTCTTTAGATTACTTCCTGCTGTTTAGGGACGTAGTTCCTTGGGACAAGTCCAGTTTCCTAGTCAGGATTCCGGCTGTCCAGCAAACCAGCAATAGCAATTGCAGCAGCAGGATAAACCAGCAGCGTCGGTGAGCAGCATCAGCGAGAGCAGCTGTCGTCGCAGGCCCTGTCAGGGTTCTCAGAGTCAAACTCTCTGCAGCTGGCACAGATCGCAGCCCTGACGGAGCATGAGACAACCACAGTTCACAGCTGTGAACAGACTGAAGCAGCCCCACGTCCTGCACCTGGGATTAAAACAAAGTCACATTGGCATAACATGACTGGGTTTTTAAAGGAACCCACTCTCACTACATCTGGCCTTTGCTAACCATTTGGAACATTTGGTATGGGGAATCTTAACGGTGAGTGAAAGTTGGTTTAGTCAGCTAAAGCTTTTGTGCTAACGTGGTTTACTGTCTGCTTTCAGAGATTATTGGGAAGGTATTTACTTTATAGATTAGGTTAACTTGTCTTTTTCTGCCCTGATAAAACTTCGTCTCTTTCCCCGAGGAAAGGAGAATTTTACCAAGGAAACTAGTACTGAACATCTGCTAGCGGCAAGGCACTTTGTTCCTGTCAGAGCATTTTAAAAAAGCAGGGTGAGGTCTGGGAAAGAGAGAGCTTGGCGCTTAGCCCACTACATGGATATTTGATAAGCACTATTTCTTTGTCTTTTAATTTTTTTCTTTCTTAAGTTTTTTCCCTTTTTTTTTTTTGAGAGGGTCTTACCACATTCTAACACCTTGAACTTAAGGTCATCTTGCCTCAGCCTCTAGTATTCTGGGAGTTCAGTGTGTATCACTTTGTCTGGCTTTGTTAAATCCTGTTGTCAGATGAGCAAAGGCTGCTTTGGCCTTTTTTTTTTTTTTAAAGTACATATACAGTGGAGGGCACCAGATCTCATAGGTGGTTGTGAGCCACCATATGGTTGCTGGCAATTGAACTCAGGAACTTTGGAAGAATAACCAGGTTCTTAACCTCTGAGCCATCTCTCCAGCCCCCTGGCCTTTTGTTGTTGTTTGGCATACTTTCTACTTTTTTCCCCTTCTCCCATTACTAATAGTTACTAATAATTTAACGCTTAGCCTTAAATGAGATGTAAAAAGAGTCCAACACTTGTTGAGCCCTCATCTATAGATTGGTTGATTTTTTGGGGGGGGGGTTGTTGGGGGTTGAAAGAACAAGGTATTAGGTGTGACATCAAACTGCAAGTAAAAGAGACTGACCTCGAACATGTGATCCTCCTGCCTCATCTCCCAAGTACTGGATTGTAGGACTATGCTACCATGCCTAGTGTATTAATTGCTTTTTTTTTATTACTGTGATAAAACACCATGACGAAGGCAATTTAAAAGAGTGCATTTAATTGGGATTACAGTTCTAGAGGGCTAGTGTCCATTTTGAGGGGCTGAAGGCATGGTGGCAGGGACAGCTGAGCGCTGATATGTCAAGCAGAGAGAGAGCTAACTGAAAATGAGGTGAATCTATTGAAACCTTAAGGCCCATCCATAGTGACACACTTCCACAGCCAAGACCACACTCCCTAATCTTTCCCAAATAGCCACCAACTGGTAAACAAGTGTTCAAATGCCTGGGACTCCTGGGGACTCCATTCTAACCACCACACCCACCTTGTTGAGTGCTTATTAAGAACATTTCTCTCCATATTTGATTTTAGTTATACTTCTAGAACAATCCTGAGAAGTACCTCTATTGTCTTTAAAACAAAACAAAACAAAACAAAACAAAACTAATGAAAAGCTGTCCTAAGTGTTTGATAAAAGAAAGAGGTAGGAATATTCCCCTATTTAAATATTTTAAGAAATATTCTCCTATTTAAAACAAAAGAGCAAGAGAGAGGATGAAGACAGTTGACGTTAAAGCGGGGGGATACTAGAACAAGAAGGGGGTGACAGGAATGTGGAGAAAGATAAACAAGAACAAAGTACATACGTAAATACCATCTTTAAACCTGTGGCTTTACAGGGAACAGGACAGAAGCCGACCACAGAGGGCCTCTGAAAGACTCTGTCCTGCATGGTATCAAAGCAGATGCTGAGACTCATAGCCAAACTTTGGGCAGAGTGCAGGGAATCTTATGAAAGAAGGGGGAGATAGTAAGATCCGGAGAGGACAGGAGCTCCTCAAGGAGAACAACAGAACCAAAATATCTGGACACAGGGGTCTTTTGTGAGACTGATACTCCAACCCTAGAACCAACTCCAGTACCTGGAACCCCTGCACAGATGTAGCCCATGGCAGTTCAGGGTCCAAGTGGGTTCCATAGTAATGGGAACAGGGACTGCTTCTGACATGAACTGATTGGCCTGCTCTTTGATCACCTCCCCCTGTGGGGAGTGCAGCCTTACCAGGCCACAGAGGAAGACAATGCAGCCAGTCCTGATGAGACCTGATAAGTTAGGGTCAGATGGAACGGGAGGAGGACCTCCCCTATCAGTAGACTTGGGGAGGGGCATGGGTAGATAAGAGGGAAGAAGGGTGGGATTGGAAGGGGACGGGGGAGGGGGCTACAACTGGGATACAAATTGAATAAACTACAATTAATAGAAATTAAAAAAAACCCTATGACTTCGTACAGTAATTAACAAAATAAACAAAACAAAGCATCCCCCCTCTACTCCCCAAAAAACAAAACAAAAACTAGCCAGGCAGTGGTGGTGCACACCTTTAATCCCAGAATTTGGGAGACAGAGGCAGGCAGATCTCTGAGTTCGAGGCCAGCCTGGTGTACAGAGCAAGTCCTAGGACAGCCAGGGCTACAAAGAGAAACCCTGTCTCAAAAACAAAACAAAACAAAACAAAACACCAAACGCCTAATGAAAAGGTCCTATAATGTTGCCTTAGCATGGGGTGTGTTTTGGAGTCCTTCAAATGACCTGAAGACCTGCAGTGAATGTGTGGGAGAGAACAAAAAGAGGCCATGGTGTCTGAGTGAGGTTGCAAACCAAAGGGAGAACAGGAAAAGGGGGATGACCAGTTGCCTGGACTTTATTACCGGTAATTTATCACTTGTAACTTGGCAGAAAGGATAAGCTGGTTTTCCCAGGCTCGGTCTCGATTCTCTCCCTTTCCTCTTCCCTACTCTTTCCTCCCTTCTGTTCTCCCTGTTCTGTCCCGTCCTTTCCTATCCCCTCCTTTCTGCTGGAAATTACTCCTAAATCTTGGTACTTGCTAGGCAAATGCTCTGCCACTGAACTACACTACTTCCTCCTGATGTTCTTCTGGTTTCTTAAAAAAGAATAATAATAATAAATATTTTTTTTGAGAATTTCACAAATGTACATAATGTATTTTGATCGTATTTAGCCCTGCTCCATCTCCTCTTGGTTTCTTGGTTTCTTTCACTTAAGCTCAAAGGCCCTGTTTCTACTTTTGGGCCCTTTGCTTTTTTGTTGTTGTTCATCACCTTGAAAGTGTGAGGCAGCGGGGCTTCTGCGCCTGGAAATCGTCAGGAGTGGTGATGATGGAGAAATAGGTGTGCTTGTGTTATTGGGAGTTCTTACTCTCATGGAGAAGTTCACGTGTCTCAAGTTAAACTAAAACGGTATGGACTTTCTGTGCCTGCCCAGCCTTGAGTAATGACATGATGACTTATGTTTATTTATGAGAGCTTTAGGCCTTAGCTTACTGTTATTCCCGACTAGCTCTTATGACTTGTGTTTTATCTGTGTTCTGCCATGTGGTTCTCTCCCTCTTCGCAGTTGCATATGTCCAATGTCTCCTAGGCCAGTCTTTTCATGCCTCTTTCCCAGAGTTCCTATCTCTTCGGAAGTCTTGCCTTTTCCCTCCTGCCTTTGCTATAGGCCCATCAGCTCTTTATTCAACCAAAAAGAAGGTGCTGGAGAAGAATGTTTGCAAAATACCGAGGCAGGTGATGCTTCACAATACCAGCGTCCGGTCTGCACTGGGCTCTCTGCTGGTGCAGAAATCAGCATTTGAATATACAGAGGCAAACTTTACACAGGGCACAGAAGCACCCCTGCAACATTAGACAGCTGCTGCTGGGGTCCTGGCTTCTGAGTCCCAGGAACTCACCCTGAAGGGTGTCCCACAGCCGAGCCTGCCGGATTAGGTGTAGTCTGTAAGCGCAGGAATGGCCACAGGCTGGGTGCAGCACCAGGATTTTAAGCATTTAGAAACAGCTCAGGGACAGCTCAGATTTATTTCTGCCAAGGCAACGTTCGTTTGCATATTCTTTTATCAGACTTCTTCTGAAGAGCTAAAAGCAATCACTGGAAGATGTGCAGCCGCGACCCATTTGTGGTCAGATTTCGGATTTAGTTGTTTAGCAGTTGATAGATCTTGTGGCTGTGCACAACCTTTGTTTAGGATAATTTAGTTTTCTTTTTTTTTTTTTTTTTTTTTTTACTAATAAATGTTTTCAATTTACAGATAAAAATGGAAAAGGCTGCTAAGCAGAAAGGAAAAGCTCCGCTGCTGTCAGGTACAAAGCCTTCTTGAAGTCTGTTGGACAAACTGGAGCCGCCATCGGATGCATCTTCTATTTATTTAAGTTTATTTTCTATGTACTTTCTTACTGTGTAAATACGTCCTTTTTGAATTTTGCTTACTGAAACAAGTGAAATTAATTTTTTTTTTTTTTTGTCAGAATCTTTGACTTTAGCCCTTTATATGCTTTTCATAGACAGTCTATGGTGTAGCCTAGACTGGCTTTGAAATCACTGTACTCCTGCCTCAGCGTATGTATGCTTTCTCTCTCGCTCAGCAAGTTATATGTTATTTTCATGTGATTGAAACCCTAAGAAAAGGACAATAAATATTTTTAGCTTATCATAATTTAACTTTTGTAGTCTATCTAAAAATTTAAAAATATTATTAAAGGCTTTAAGCAAACACATATGGTCCTGTTTTTTTGTTTTTGTTTTTGTTTTTGTTTTTTTGTTTTGTTTTGTTTTTTCATTCTAAATGACAAGCCTCCTCTCGGATATCCTGTCATTGGCCAAAGTCAGGGTGACTATGTGGCTGGGCAGCTGGGCACGCCTCTCTGCCCTCGGTGCCAGTCATCCCGCTGCCTCACGCCGTACGGACCCGGGCACCACCCCACCCCCCCCCCCCCCCCCCCCCCCCGGGGCCGCCGCGGGCGGGTACCCCCAGCTGCCGCCCCCGCGGGCCCGCGGCCCCCCCCGCCCCCCCCCCCCCCCCCAGCAGGGTGAGCATCGAGGGCTGCAGCAGAGGTGCGCTTCTACCAGCCTGCTGGCCCTCGCCGCCCCCCCTCCCCGCCCCCGAGGCTGAAGGTCCGCCTACTCGGCAATGCCACGTTGTTTGCTGCCACCGCCCTGCTTCTCCAGTTTGTGATACCCTCAGTTTCTGAACCGCTTCTCAGCGTTATGTCCCCAGCCGTGCTGCCCAGCCTCATGGTCACCCTGACTGGGCAGCGACAGGCTATCCAAGAGGAGTCTTATCGATAGTCCAGTATTTATGGGGCTTCAGAAACCTTGAAGCAGACCAATAACTCGTTGCAGTAAGCATTTGCATGTAAAGCCGTCTGGGCAAAAAAAAAAATACACTGTGTGACAGACACACTACACACAGTTTGCAACATCACTTCGATGAGGAAATGTACAGTGGAGAGAGGTGGGAAAGATGGTGGAACCGAGAGAGGCAGAACCGGAGACGCTGTGCTGGCCACAGGGGTGGGAGTGCAGCCTCGGCCGAGAAGGGAGCGTGTTAGGCCGACAGGGTGGTGTGGCGCAGCCTGGAGCTCAGGCAGGCTCTGCTCCCAAACGCAATGTCCAGCTTTGGCTCTGAGCGACGGCAGGATGTCCTCGGCAAAGAAAGGTTCATTCTGTGGACTGGACCTCCTCCTCTATGGTCTGTGCTGTCCCCAGAGGCCATACTGGTGTCTGTGGTCAGTGCCAAAACTGGGCGCCGTTCTGGTCTCTGTGGTCTGCGTTGCTGCCGGAGGCCATGCTGACGTGTGTGGCCTGCGCTGCCACCGGAGGCCATGTGGATGTCAGTGGTCAGTGCTGCCACAGGAAAGCACGTGGAAGTCCACGATCCGTGCTGCTGCTGGCTGTTAGGAGCAGGGAAGCTTCTTTTGCAGTAGCATCGATGATGGCAGACTCGCCGTTGAGACTGAGAGGCGCTGACGGCCTTTGTGACCTACCTCCACACCAAGAAACAGTCTACACAGGAAGCTCTTGAAGAGAGTCCTTAAAAACCGTGCTAGGCATTCTGAAGCGTAGCTCTTCCCGGTTGATGGCTTCTGGTGGGGGAGTTGTGGGTGGTTTCGGTTATCTTTAAGGAGCTGGTCACCGGAAGTCTGACAGTGCTCCAGTGAGTGTATGGCCGACACAAATTGGACTTGATGTATTTTTTTTTTTTTTCCTTTTTGGGGTGAGGGATACAAGGATGGGAGAGTGGACCTGGGACGACGAGCAATCAAGTGAGACCAGGATGCACTCGTTGTGTGAATAATAGTAAATATATAAAATATTATATTGGAAAAAAAAAAAAACTGGAGAAGCTGTAGTCTGAATTTTCCCTAGGAAGGCCTGGAAGATACTTACCGTTAGGTCTTAAGGCATGCAATGGCTAAGAATGTTCTGGAAACTGAGAGCTCAGAGGGTCTGAGCAGTACAGGTTAGAATTAGTGGAAGACACCTCCATTACCCTGGACTCTGTCACAGCAGACTGGCGATGGAATATCAAGTTACAGAATTTGTGATAACTGGCAAGCGGAAGGCTCATACAGGTCATGGCCACGTATTGCAGGGCTTTCTCAGACCCGCTAGTGGTTTAGGTGATGATGCTGAGAGTTCTAATATGGCTTGAAGTTTAGGCCCTTTGCCGGGAGTGCTCTCCCAGCTACCAACTTAATCCGGCTGTTATAGCACTGTGTGTGACCAGCAACGTGTCTAGCTCTTTACCTTCCTGTTACTCTCCAGTCCATGCCCATCCCCTTTCATGTCTTCTTTGATTCTCCTGCTTCAGCTTGTGGCTTCCAGTGTCCCTCACCCTGCCCGGAAGTTCCACCCTCATACTTCTTGCTTCAGATATTGGCCATCAGGTCTTTACTATAACCAACCAGCAGCGAGACAACACTTGATACATCTCTTAGATTGACTCTAGGTATAAGGGCTGTCTGACCTTCAAATACCTGAGCAGGAGTGGAAGGACAAGTATTTACAAATATAAAACAGGTGATGGGCTATAGAAATATAAAATCTTGGTGGCAGTTAGCTTTTTGTTGGTCCAATATTCAACAATAGAAATTACAGAGGCACATCTTCATACAATGTGAAGAAAGTTACCTCAAAAGTAAGGAACAAAGAAATAAAACAAAACAAAACAAAACAAAACAACCAACCAACCAAACAAACAAACAACCAAAAATACCCACCACAGTTTCTTACCTACTTACTAGCTCCAAGGCAGTTCAGTTTTGGTTCTAGGAGGAGGAAGAGCCTACATCTTTTGAGGGAGGATCTCAACTATTCCCTGAAAATCCTAATGGGGCAGATATTTACTAGTGTAACTATTCCATGGATAAAGATTAATACTCAAGCTGGGCTGTGGTGGTGCATATCTTTAATCCCTGCACTCAGGAAGCTGAGGCAGGCAGATCTTTGTGAGTCTGAGGCCAGCCTGCTCTACACAGTGAGTTCTAGGACAGCCAGAGATGTTACACAGAAAAACCTTGTCTCAAGAATAAATAAATAAACAAACAAATAAAAGCTCATCTTGTTATGCCTAGATCCTAAGGTCCCCAAAGACCACCAGGAGCCAGACCACATATGTAAGAGCAAAGAGCTTTATTCGGGCTTAAGCTCAGTCTCTCCATGGTCACCAATGCAGTGGATCAGAGAGGAAAGCCCTGAGCGGCTGCATGATGACATCAGCATCATGATGTCATCAGCCCTGAGCAGATGACATTCAGCAAGGGCAAGTTTGTTACAAAGTGATTGGCTAACTAGCATAATTAACATTGAATGAGCTATCTATAGACCTCAGGAATGTTAGGATGGTGGACTGCTCAGTACAGATGCCCCACCCTGAGATAAGATACCTTCTTATTCTTGTGGTTACCTCTAGGCTATTTCTTAGATAGGGACTCTTATGGTTTTCTTATTCCTGGAATTGGTGACCCATGTCCAGTTTCTAGGACCGGTGACGTTTGGGGGAGGGGGTCAGGCCTGGTCCTTTCAATCTTTTTAATTAAGGACACAAAGACACAGGACCTGCAATAACTTAGATTCAAAAGGGCAAAAAATATTATCATGGTTCACTGGTTAGAGTATTTTTAATAAAAAAAATTTTTTTGCATGTGTTATGCCTAGATCACAAGACCCCCAAGAGACCACCAGGAACATGAGTCTAATGCAAAACACACAAGGGTCTTTATTCAAGCTTGAGCTTGGGTCACAATCCCTTCCAACATAGCAGGTTTGGAGAGCAGCCCCAAACTCCAAGGGAACAGGGTTTTAAAAGGGAAAAACCACAAGCAGGGGCTTTCAAGCCTTAGTGTTACCTGATTGGGCAAAAGGTAAAGGAATGAGATGCACTTTGACCTAGTTGGTTAACAGCACCTGGCCAAACCACAGAGAGCAACAGTTTCCCAAGAGGATCATTGCGACCCTGGGAACAACTTATGTTTTCTTAACCAACCCTGTCTTTATTGGTCTGCCTCAGTTGCTATGTCTAGCTGCAAGCTGCTGAGAACATTGTGTTTTTGTTTTTTTTTCTCAGAACTTAAGGGTGGGAACCAAGGTACTCCAGAGACAAGCTAACCTTGGAGGGAGTCTGAGGAACAACATAGAGCTAGTTCTGCTAATTTAACCCTTTCACATGTTTATGCATATGTAGGGAGGACAGAAAGTTAGCCAAAGATATCATTCCTCAGGAGCCATCCACCTTGGCTTTTGAGATTGGATATCTCAACGGGACCTAGGGCTTGCCAGTTAGGCTAGGCTGGCTGGCCACAGCCCTAATGATCCTCCTGGCTCAGCCTCTCTAGCACTGGAATCCCAGCCTGTCTTAGTGTGCCTGGCTTTTTTGTTTGTTTTGAAGATGATGGGGATCAAGCTCAGGTCCTCCTATTTGACTGAGTGAGCTACCTCCTCAGCAGGCACTCACCTAACTCCTGTTTTTTTTTAAGATTGGGGGTCTTGTTTTAGTGGCCAGGTGCAATGTTTGCTCTTGTCTGTCAGCTCGGTGGTATTGGGGATCAGCTAAGAAACATACCCCTGGATGGATCGATGAGGGCATTTCCAGAAAGGGTTGGCTGAGGGAGAGAACCCTTTCTCAAGAGGGCAGCATCCTCCAATGGTGGCCCAGTGTAAGGAGATCCAAGGACACTTCACATTGGCTATTATGCTTTCACTCTCAAATATGTTTTTATATACTTATCTACCAATAAAAAGTAAAAATCCATAACTGAGTTAGAACTTTAAAAAAGAGCCTTATATCCTTTCATAACTGTGTTCATTATTTGCATTCAATCTTTCATCTCCTAATATTAACCCATGCCAAAAAAGAAACCTGAAAATGAAAACAACATTCCTGAGTTGTAGCTAGAATAGTGTTTGCAGGGACACTTATGACACCAAATATTTATATCAGCAAGATCTCAGATTAGTGGTTCTAGCTATTATGTTATGAAGGTAGAAAAATACAGAATGATAAACAATCCAGTCAGTATGTGGGCCAAACATGCCAATCTGCACAGAAGTACAAATGATAAAATGTTCAACATATATTAGCCATAAGAGAAATACAAATCAAAGCTACACTGAGATTGTAATTTTTTTTTTCATAGTCAGAATCACCAAGAAA